GATCTTCTGGTGGTGGTGTCCTGATGACTCCAAGGATGAAGGCTTCAGTTGAAGTAGATGGTGCTGGAGTGGATGCTGGAGCTGGTTGCACTGGAACTGAAGGGGCAGTAGCTGGTGCTGAAGTTGTTTCTCTAGTGTCTGTCACTGGCACTGCAACTGACCTCCGGGCTCTGGGCACTCTGGCAAACACATTTGTGTTAGTCTTGCCCTGCTTCTCCTAGTCATGAAGAAAGCAATAGCAATGAAACTGTAACGATCATAATGCTAAGCTAACGGATGGGTCTTGTCCATCACATCATTCTCCTAATGATGTGATCTTGTTTATCAAATGAAAACACATGTCTATGGTTAGGAAACATAACCATCTTTGATCAACAAGCTAGTCAAGTAGAGGCATACTAGGGACACTTTGTTTTGTCTATGTATTCACACATGTACTAAGTTTCCGGTTAATACAATTCTACCATGAATAATAAACATTTATCGTGATATAAGGAAAATGAAATAACAACTTTATTATTGCCTCTAGGGCATATTTCCTTCACACACCGCTGCAGCTTTGTCACCATCAGCGGCCGCCTCCTTCACGTCGAACCACACGCGCTCCGCCATCCGGAGTCGCTGGATCGCGGGCGTCTTCCGGTCGAGGCAATCGAACTTGCTCCACGACCGCCGGCCGGAGCTGCAGGCGCACCGCGCTTCCACACCTCCTCCTTGCGCCACTCCTCCATCGTCGGGCGGAGGGAGGAGTTCTCGGCCCCATCGTCGTTGCGGTGCTTGCGAGGCGGCTCGCCTCCGCGGCCGCCAAGCCCCCCTCGGCCACCCCTCCACCCCTCGTGTACGACATCAGGGCTCTGTTCAGGTGGCTATGGGCGCTGCAAAATGCAGCCGGTGGGAAAGGGGATTTGTTGCCGGAGATGTAGGATTGCGGCGGAATGGGATAGGGGAAATGAAGGACGCAAACCCTAAAATGGTCTCCCTTTGATATATATATATATATATTGCGGATTTGGGGGCGGTTTATGGGCCTCCGGTAAAAAAAAATTATGGACCAAGCCATTTTTACAATTCAATTGCTACTGCAAGCTTCTCACTGTGGTGCTCTATTTTCAGGGATAGATTACATCCCTGTCGGAGGAAATGCACAAAAAAGTTGGATTGGCTTGACAGTAAAGTAAAGGGGGATGGATGTATTTATGAGTACAAGAGATTTTCGTTGCATGACGTGAGAAGTACCAAGTACTTAGCAGTTCAAAGCACCACGGTGAGACGCTTGCAGTAGCCATTGAACTGCCAAGTACTGCATTTAGGGTCATGATGAAACTCCAAGCTTGCGGTAATTATCAGCTTATATTCAAGACTCAAGGAGATTCCGTTATTTCACAGATGGCATGTGTTGTTGTGTAGACAATTGGTCATGATTAGCGTATAACTGAATGAATTCTGAATGAAAGAGAGTTTCCTGGACATTGCAACTGTCATTTGATCAGGGAAAGTGATATTTGTGGATCCGAAATGAGGCTCCTCATAGGTCAAGATGACAAGTGCATCTGCATTTCTTGGTGGTGAAGTACAAAGGTAAAATTCTTTCGCTTCATACTTCTATATTTTAGTCTGCCAAAAACAGTTGGGTGTTCGAGGCCATATCACAGATGAAAAATAATAAGGCTCCCGGCTCGGATGGATTCCTGGCTGAGTTTTATAAGAAGTGCTAGCATATTATTAAAGGGGACCTGTTGCCGATGTTCCATGATTTGTTCTCGGGACAGCTTCAGCTTTTTCAACTAAATTTTGGTACGATAACCCTGCTTCCTAAGAAAACAGAGGCTGTGAGAATCGAGCAATTCAGGCCCATCTGTCTTCTCAATGTTAGTTTCAAATTTTTTACCAAGGTTGGGACGATTAGGCTCACACAGATTGCACATGTTGTGGTGCAGCCTACTCAAACTGCTTTCATGCCGGATAAGAACATCCTCAAAGGGGTTGTGGTCCTTCATGAAACGCTCCATGAGATTCACACGAAAAAACTTGATGGAGTTGTTTTCAAGGTGGATTTCGAGAAGGCGTATGATAAAGTCAAATGGTTGTTCCTTCAACAGGCCTTACGCATGAAGGGTTTTGATGAAGCTTGGTGACGCCAGGTAGAATCTTTCACGCAAAAGGGAGTGTTGGAATTAAAGTGAATGACGATATAGGTCATTATTTCCAGACACACAAGGGCCTGAGATAAGGTGATCCCATGTCTCCTATCTTGTTCAACATTGTGGTTGATATGTTGGCGATCCTGATAGGCAGGGCAAAGGAGGCCGGTCAGGTGGGTGGCTTGGTGCCTCATCTAGTTGATGGTGGTGTGTCCATCCTGCAGTACGCTGATGATACAATCATCTTTATGGAGCACGACTTGGCAAAAGCGAGAAATATGAAGTTAGTGTTATGCTTATTTGAACAATTGACTGGATTGAAGATTAACTTTCATAAAAGCGAGTTGTTCTGCTTTGGTAGAGCCAAGGAGGAACAAGAGGCTTATAGGCAATTGTTTGGATGTTAATTGGGGGCTTTACCTTTTACGTACCTAGGTATACCCATTCACCATCGTAAGCTAACAAACAGAGAGTGGAAGTGCATCGAGGATCGGCTTGAGAAGAAACTGAGTTGCTGGAAAGGAAAACTTATGTCATATGGAGGCCAATTGATTCTTTTTAATTCGGTGCTCACGAGTATGCCTATGTTTCTCTTATCCTTCTTTGAAGTCCCAGTTGGGGTTAGGAAAAGGCTGGACTTCTATCGATCCCGATTCTTCTGGTAGAGTGATGAACTAAAGAGAAAATACCGACTCGCCAAATGGGATATCATCTGTCGACCAAAGGACCAGGGGGGCCTTGGTATTGAGAATCTTGAAGTCAAGAACATATGTCTTCTCAGTAAGTGGTTGTATAAGTTGTCAGTTGAGACTGAGGCAACGTGGGCACACATTCTCCGTAGTAAGTATCTGCAGTCCAAAACTTTGTCCCAGGTGACAGTGAGACCAACTGATTCGCCGTTTTGGAAGGGGCTTATGAGAGTCAAAGTTGCCTTCTTTAATAGAACAAAGTTTATTGTCGGTAATGGCAACACCACTCGCTTCTGGGAGGATACGTGGCTTAGTGAAACGCCGTTGGCGCTCCAGTATCCGTCCCTGTATCGTATTGTTCAGCATCGTGATGCTCTTGTTGCAACGATTATGCAGTCCATTCCCCTTAATATTCAGTTTCGGAGGGTGCTTGTTGGTGACCGGTGGGAAGCATGGTTTCATCTGGTGAGTAGACTGATGGAGGTTCAGCTAGCTCATCAGCCCGATCAGTTGTGTTGGAAGCTTACTAGGTCTGCAGAGTTCACAGTCAAGTCGATGTATATCGATGTCATTAACTCTAGTGTTATTCCTAGTTCCAAACATGTTTGGAAAGTCAAAGTTCCTTTGAAGATTAAAGTGTTTATGTGGTTTGTGCATAAACAAGTAATTTTAACAAAGGATAATTTGGTTAAGCGCAACTGGACATGATCTACTAGGTGTAGTTTTTGTGATCGGGACGAGACAATCAAGCACCTCTTCTTTGATTGCCCGTTGGCGAGAGTTTTGTGGCGCACCGTGCAAATTGCCTTTAACATTACTCCTCCGAATTCGGTCAGTACGTTATTTGGAACGTGGCTTGTTGGGATAGAGTCCGAAACAACTAGACACATTCGTGTAGGAGTATGCGCGTTGTTATGGGCAATTTGGAACTGCAAAAATGATTTGGCTTTTAACAGAACAACAACTATTCATTTTTTGCAGGTTTTATTCCGAGCTACTGCGTTGATCCGTATGTGGTCCTTACTCACTCCGACGGAGGCCAGGAAGCGTTTGGTTACTGGATCTGTCCGGTGGGAGATGGTAGCGCGGGATATCTTCAACCGGTTTGGATGGCGGTCATGTAATAGGGTAGGCGATTAATTTACCTATCTTTTGTTATGCCAGCCGGTTGTGGCTTTTGGGCCTTTTGTTCTTGGCGTTGTGGCTCTGTGTGAGCTTGCCGTTTTTTTATTTGTTTCAAGACCTTAAGACCTTGTTGAACCTCTTTTTATCTATAAATGTGGCCATATGCATCATTCTGATGCAGAGGCCGGGGAGTCCCCTTTTCAAAAAAAACATTTGGGTGTTGCCCATTTGCTTTGCTGGGGCATAAATAAATTGTAACTGTAGAGTATCGTCTCATATACTCCCTCCGTCCCAAAATAAGTGTCTCAATTGAGACACTTATTTTGGGGCGGAGGGCGCGAAGTCTGCAATTCTAGGGTCCTCAAAAGTTAAAACTAGCACTGAGCCGATAATCCATAGTCCATTCTTTGTAAGATGTAAGATGGCCAGGCCAGTTTGCTGGTGACTAATAATTTGGATATCGCACTACGTTGAAAGCTAGCTGGTAGTCATCATAACTTCATCTAGTCTGACAGATTTTGAACATCTCTCCTCAAGTTTATTTGAAAGAAATCTTAAGGTATTCTCTTTTCCTTTTTTTGCGGAAGAAATCTTAAGGTGTTCTTGGCAAAGTACTGACTAAATGCAGTTGGCTCAGCAAACATAACCTCACTTAAGTCGTATACCTTAATCTATCTAGCCAATCAACACTGCTTCGCCAAGTGATTTTGATTCGCATATGTTGCGATGACAGATGAAAACATCACATGTTTTTGCATATCTTGTTGCTTACCATTGGCACATGCGCCCACCACAGATTACAACCTAGCATGAAGCCAACACATGTGGCACTGGAGCAAAATGCAGGTGAAAATCCCTGAAAACTCTGGTAAATAGATGTAAAATTTTGGACAGGTTGTCCATGTGTTCTTCTCTGGCAGGAACACATTGCGTTAGACAATTTCAGAATACAAACATTCAGTTTGCACATCCATCATCACTGTGTTCTCTGAACTTTGAAGTATGCTTTGGCGAACACACTACAGAGAGGACCTCTGTCCAATCATCACTCTGTCTCCCTATGCTCCCCCTCCTCCGTCAACCGCGGCGGCGCGTCACGGTCCAAGAACTCCTTCACCGCGGAAGGGAATGCAATGGCTGCTCTATCCTCGGGACCTTCTCCATCCCAGGACCACGAGGCCTTGGCGACCAACAGATGCGCCAGCCTCGCGGGCTCCCTGCACTCACCGCCACCGCCGTCGCCGTAGTAATGCTGGATCCAGCCGTCCACCCTCCTCTTCTCCTTTTCGCACTTGGGCCCGACCACTCCGACGACCTTCGCCATGAACCCGTCGCGGCCGCTGCAGTCGCACCCGCCGCTGTCGCCTCCGTCGTCGCCGAACCATGGCGGCGGCGACAGGCCGATAAGCGCCATCAGCCGCGCTATGTCCGCCCCGCTATCGCCGTCGTCGTCGGAGTCGGAGTCTTGTTGGGGCTCCTGCACGCGCACCTCATCTTTGGAGAGGGTGAGGAAGTCCAGCGCCGGGCCACTGCTCTCGCCGGCGCCGCCGCCGCGGTCGGTGGCCGTGGCCGTCGACGCGCCGAGGAAGAGCGGGGATGCGGTCATGGTGTCCGAGAAAAGCGGCGGCGCGACGGGCTGTCGGGGCGCCGGCCGCTGCTCCTCCGCCGCCAACCGGTCTTCCACCTGAGGAGGAAATCGCCATTCGTCAGAAGGGGGAGGCGGCGCGGCGGGGCCGTGAGGGATTACAGCTGTGGGTTGGGTACCTGCTTGAGGGACGCGAAGAAGCTGGTGTGCCGCGAGAAGGGCTGCATCGTGTGGTGTCGCGGCCGCCGCCGGCAGGGTGCAGTGCAAACGCCAACCGATGCGAAAATGGCTTCCGCTGCCGAAATTTCCTTTTTAGGTTTTTTCTTTAGGATCTCCCTTTTTAGGTTTTTTTGAAGGACACTTTATTGAATAATTGGGAAGTTCAAAGAATGCAAAAAGGGTCATGTGAATAGCCTAGCCACAAATGGCAACCCCGGTTAGGAGAAACCGAAAAATTAACCAAGCTATAAGGTTTTTTGTTTGTGTCTCTACCTTCGAAGATGATATCACATGCTTCAAAAAGCTGCTGATTCGCATTGATCTCTTGAACTATTGTGCCGCTCTTCCCTAGTGAGCCATGCTTTATATCATTAATGATTCAGGTCTTGGGCAAGTGCTTACGCTTCTCGACATGCTAGTGTTTCAAGACAGGCCGGGTCATTAATGCCTGGAAAGACCATCGTCGAGGACCCTAAGTGAAGGCCTTGTCAACACGGCATACAACAGAGGATGCGCCCATGGAGCCATCTCGGGAGAGCCCTTCGTTCACATTGATCTTAAACATCCCTACTGGAGGAGGCGTCCAAACCTTGTGCAACCGAACATTTACAACGGGAGTAGGACTCATCGGTCTAGGAGCATTCTTGATTGCTCTCCAATTCAGCAATAAGGCATTGAATGAGCATATGTGTGGCAAGAGAACTTTAGAAAATAGACTCATGGATGCCCTTCCGCCTTGTTGTCCATATGGCCCACAGAGTCACCGTTAGGGTGACAAACTTGTCATGTGATAAAGTAGCCATCACCCAAATAGCAACCTTTTGCGCTTGGGTCCGTCGTAGCAATTAAGTGCTCAGCTAGGTCGCCATCAACCAAAGCCCAGACACACCTCGACGTCGTGCACTCGAGTAGGGAATGACGCCACGAGTCTGTCGCTCCACACAACTGACATCTATCAGATGGTGACATATGTCGATGATGTCGTACGTCTTCAGTCGGAATAGAATGCTTTGCTAGTCTCCACACAAAAATGCGTAGCTTTCCTGGGACGTCCACCTGCCAGAGTTGCTTCCGTCCATTCTATTCGGCTTCAGAATTGGAGGAGACCGCACGCCCATCAAGCCAAGCCTCCCACCGGCGTTGTGTGTGGGTGAGCATGCGGTACTAATACGTCTATTTTGCATCATGTTTTACTACTGTTATTTATTATGTTTTGGATTGTTATTTCACTTTATGATGCAATTCATATGCTTTTTATCTCTTATTTTGAAGTTTCACATAAAGAGGCAGATTGCCGGTAGCTAGAATTCTTGATCGGAAAAGGCTACAACAGAGATAGCTATTCTGCACAACTCCAAATGACCTAAAAATTTAGGAGAATTATTTTGAAATATATAAAAAGTATTGGCAGAAGAAATACTAGAAGGGGGGCCACCAAGGAGCAACAAGCTCAGGGGACGCGCCCTACCCCCTGGGCGTGCCTATTGAGCTTGTGGCCCCCCTGACAGGCCTCCCGGTGCCCATCTTCTATTATATGAAGCCATTTGCCCTAGAAAAAAAATAAAAGGAAGACTTTCGGGATGAAGCACCGTCGTCTTGAGGTGGAACCTGGGCAGGAGCACTTTTGCTCTCTGGAAGAGCGATTTCGCCGGGGAAACTTCCCTCCGAGAGGGGGAAATTGAAGCCATCAACATCACCAACGATCCTCTCATCATGAGAAGACCAATCTTCATCAGCATCTTCACCAGCACCATCTCATCTCAAACGCTAGTTCATCTCTTGTATTCAATCTTTGTCCCAAAACCTCAGATTGGTACCCGTGGGTTGCTAGTAGTGTTGATTACATCTTGTAGTTGATGCTACTTGGTTTATTTGGTGGAAGATTAAATGTTCAGATTCTCAAGCATATTCAATATACCTCTAATCTTGAACATGAATATAATTTGTAGTAGTTACTTTTGTTCGTGAGGACATAGGAGAAGTCTTGTTGTAAGTAATCATGTGACGTTGATATTCGTTCGATATTTTGATGATATGTATGTTGTTGCTACCTTTAGTGGTGTCATGTGAACGTCGACTACATGATACTTCACTATACTTGGGCCTAAGGGGAGGCATTATGGAGTAATAAGTAGATGATGAGTTGCTAGAGTGACAGAAGCTTAAACCTTAGTTTATGTGTTATTCCGTAAGGGACTGATTTAGATCCATATGTTTCATCTATGGTTAGATTTATATTGATTTTTCTTTCGTAGTTGTGGATGCTTGTGAGAGGGGGTAATCACAAGTGGGTTGCTTATTCAAGTAAGAACAACACTCAAGCACCGGTTCACCCACATATTAAATTATCTTGATAGCAAATTTGAATCAACTAAACATGATGAACATGACTAGACGATAATTCCCATGTGTCCTCGAGAGCACTTTGCTTTATATAAGAGAACTTTCCGGCTTGTCCTTTGCTATAAAAAGGATTGGGCCAACTTGCTGCACATTTTCTACTATCATTACTTCTTACGAATTATCTTGCTACAAAATTATCTATCACTGTTACCTTCCGCACTTGCACAGAAATACTTTACTGAAAACTGTTTGTCATTTTCTTCTGCTCCTCGTTGGGTTCGACACTATTAATTATCGAAAGGACTAGGATTGATCCCCTATACTTGTGGGTCATCAGGTACGCCGACCTCAGAAAAAATTGTTCTTCTCGAAATTCCATGCCCAAAATTCTTTATTATTTCTTGTACAAAGGGGTATTCTGAAGATTGCATCGACATCGGCGGGGAGAAAAGTTTGCTGTAATACCTCCCTATTCCATGAGGCCTTAACATGATTTATGAGCTCACTAACCATGGTGGGGCAGACCGCCGCGAGGCACACAATCGGTCTCATGTTTTCATCTCTAGGGATCCAGTTCTCCTAAACCGTCCCCAACTCTTTGGATCAAGCCTTGGCGCAATACATCTCTTCCTTCAATTATTGCTCGCCATATTTTTGAAGGATGGTTCCCAAGTTTGGCTGACAAAATATTACTAGCAGGGAAAAAAATAGCTTTCAGCATCATGGGACAAAGAGTGTCAGGATATTGTAGAACGTGCCATGCTTGCTTAGCAAGCAGCGCTAGGTTGAAGAGCTCGAAATCCCTGAATCCCAATCCACCCAGAAACTTTGGTTGTGTTATGTCCTTCCAAGAAACCCATGACGACTTCCTTTGGCCTTCCTTGCTTCCCCATCAAAATTGTCGTATGAGTTTATTCAGGTGCTCACATAAGCCTCTCGGTAATTTGCAACACGACATAGAGTAAACTAGAACCGCCCGAGCCACTGACTTGATCAAAACCTCTTTGCGAGCTGAAGAGAAAAGTTTTGTCATCTATCCTTTAACCTTGTTCCATATCCTGTCCTTTAAATATTTGAAACCCCCTGTTTAGAAGAGCCTACATCAAAGGGCATACCCAAATACCTATCATTCAAGGTTTTATTGGGCACTTGAAGAATATTTTTGATCTCCCTCTTTTAGGTAGTTCCCGAAATTCTTTGGGCGTGTTTGGAGAGAGAAGTCCACTTTGTCCGGGTTCACATCCAAACCTATCCAAATGGGCTAGTACGGCCCGACCTGAATTATAACGGCCAGGCACGCCAAGTACACGGTTCTACCCGGCCGACGCGAGTTGCCCTCTCTAGCCACACACGTCACTACAAGTAAACGGGCAGCCCATCGTCATGTTTAGCCTATCAACCCACCTATCATTCAGCCTACTGGGCTAGTTGTTGGTCCGCAAAAATACTAAACAGGCCGTCTAGTGTTAGCACGAGTGCCCGGCAAATCCTATTTGGCGATGCAGGCGCCCGTTATAGGCAAATTTACAAATGGGTGTCTGCAGCACCCCGCGCTGGGCCCGCCCGTTACTGCGTATGTCAATTTTCAAAAAATTGGTGAACTTATTTATAGCTTCGGTGAACTTGTTCAAACCGATGAACTTTTTAAAATTTAGTGAACTCTTTTCAAATTTGATGAACTTTTTTCCAAATCGATGATTTTTTTCCAAATTCTATGATCTTTTTAGAACATTGGTGAACTTATTTATAGCTTCGGTGAAATTTTTCAAACCGATGAACTTTTTTAAAATTCAGTGAACTTTTTCCAAATTAGATGAACTTTTTTTTTTCAAATTTTGTTATCTTTTGAAAAATTGGTGAACTTATTTATAGCTTCGGTGAATTTTTTTGAAAACCGATGAACTTTTTCAAATTTGGTGAACTCTGTTTTGCATTCGATGAACTCTTTTTTTCAAATTCTATTAGCTTTTTTTAAAATGGATGAACTTTTTTCACATTTTGTGAACTTTTTCAAAATTGGTGGATTTTTTCTAATAGATGAACTTTTCTTATCAAATTGGATGATCTTTTTTCAGAAACGATGAAGTTTTCCAATTCGTGAACTTTTTCCGAAATTGGATAAACTCATATATCTTTCCCTAATAATAAAGCACGAAATGACTTCGTGGGTTCACCGTCACAATACGCTTTTTTCCGTGATTTTACACTTTCAGTTTGAATTTAAAACATATTCGTTGTGGTACTAAATTTGTGGTATTAAATTTTGTGCGTCACGGCATTTTTACAAAAAAGTCCCTGTGGTTTTTATGAATTAACCCACAGTCACTTTTTCATCCGTTCTATCCGTCACGGGAAAATCCCCGCATGTATGAACCCACCTCGCTCCCCGACAACGAGTTCTACCGATTTATATAGGTTTCTATGTAATCTGCAACATCAAGCAAAGCTGTACGGGAATCAGCAAGCAATAGCGATCTAAGATAAGAAATGGGGCGGCTCGGTGGTGCTGGTCTGGTGCAGAGGCAAGGAGGAGTCGGGGAGGCTAGCAGCAAGGCCATATAAGCACAACAGCACGGCATGAGAGAGAAGAGGGAGCTGGAGAGAGGGCTGCGGGCAAGCTCACTCACCTTGCCCCGGTGTGATAACCCCACTGGGCAACGAGCCG